CATGCTGTATTTTTTCAGGCATTGTAAAAGCAGATAATGATAGTCATTGGTCTAAAATATTTGCAACCCAGGCAACCAAACAGGACACAGCATATCATTAGAGTACTTTAGCCATTGCTTCCACGCCCTCCGTCCGTCCCCCTCCGTCCGTCCCCCCCCCCAATATTAAAATTAGAATGGGACATCCTAGTCCAGCTGGAAATCTCATTAAAATGAGTTCTGCAGGAATAACTAAAACTGACAAAGGCACATGTCTTGTTAACACTACAAGCATTAGAATTATTCTCCACAAAGCAAAAAAAGAAATAATTAGATTCAGTTTAGCATTTACTTTAGTTTGGCCATAGTTGCATGCATTTAAAATATGTATATATCTATACCTATGCATAAAGGTATGTACACATATATATTATGCATATATATTTATATTTAAGTCCCAATAGCTATTTGCAAGCTTGATCATTATTAGCCACCTAATTTCTTACATGCAGCAAATGTAAAACTCACTTTCTACTAGGTAAACTGGACTGGTTAAATGACCTTCTCTCTCCAAGCTTGAAGTAACTCTAATGGGCCATTCTGTTTTACAGAGATATATATATATATAAATAATCTCAAGAAAGTTATATGACAAACTGTTGCAATGAACAGCAACAAAAATATGCAGCATTCCATTTAAGAGACAGACCAGCTGATCAAATTCTGCCACTCATGTTTTGTTTTCATGGGTAACTTATTCTACTAGTAGTTTCAGTGCTTTCAGATGGTCAGAGGCAGGTAATGTTTCCTCTGAACATGCTGATCATTGCCCTTTGAAAAAACTCATAATCTGAAGGAACCTCAGTTTCAACTTTAAGAAGCTGATGCATTCCTGTTTAAAAAATTCAGGACATATAGTTTAAGGGTTTAGGTTGTTTGAATTTCTTGAATATTTTTTTCGCATAGGCAATTCTTCTTATCAAATTTCAGTGTGCACAGAATTCTGTCACAGGAAAGTTTTAAAATATATCTAAAATTGAAAACACAGCCAGATCTTTCTTTATATTTATGCTAGGGAACAAAAATGAGTATAAGCCAGCAAAGTATAAGCAAAAAATCAAAACACAAAAATCACCGCAACAGGCACTAGACTTAACAGGGTAGCAAAAAAGGCGTTAGATGCTGTGGACAGGGAGTAGGCATTTAAATCGCATACATGTCATGAACCAATTGTACAAGGGAAGAAAAATAACTTGAGAGTTACAAGGTCAGTTGACAGGCTCCAGCACATCAATTAAGTTGGAGGCACGACACACTCAACAGAATGCAACTTTTTGGCTATATATGCATTCCCAGTGCAACACATTCTTGCAAATTTCCATGTTGCATGGAACAGGGTGATGTTAAGACAAGAGGTATTGCTATAGATGTTAAGGAAGTTTCAGTAATACTGAAACTCACATGGGAATAGATTTGGGGGTTTTCCATCATTTCTTACCAGTTCAGAAGGCACTAATTGCTGCTTATATAGCAGGTTCATGAAAACCTGCTGGTACATGTTTAGATTCTCTGAACTAGTCCCAGTACTAGCCGTAGTTAAATGTCTACAATTGACAACTGCTACATTTAAATCAGCCAGATGACTCAGTTAATATTGTACACATCCCTAATGGCTTCTCTGGATCAGGACTTACTGCAGGAAATACATATTAAGTGAATGCCACATATATCAGCAGATATATCAGGGTTGGCCAGAAACCAAGAATTCTATTTCACACAGAAAATGTTGAGTGTTTGACATGTTTTCCCTTAATTAGGAAAAGGAATATAGACAGTTTAAGCATAATTCCGGGGGGGGGGGGGGGAATATATATATATATATGATATATATATATATCTGATAGATAGATAGATCAGATTAGAGACTGACCAAAGGAAGTACACTAGAAAGTACTCTTTCCAGACTATCCAGCTTGGACTACCATTTATGCAGAAAGAAAGTCCCTCTTCTGCTGAGAATGAAGACTTGAACTTTGATCTCCCTTGCCTTGTAATGTAGATCTCTAATGTTGTTCTCTTTTGATCTCCAAGAACTTAATTAATTCCATAAATCACTTGTATCATGTGGTAAATACAAACCCATTTCATATTTCTCTTGCGAGTTATTTTTTCCAGTAATGTTTAAAGAAACAGTTATGTTGATACTAAAAATGTAAGTATGCATCTGATACACATTCTTTTATTGATCTCCATATGTTTTAAAAAATTTGATTTTTACATACCACAGTTTCTGCAGAGAAAGAGAAATCTTTAGCTATCTACTGTCACTAACTCTAAAAAGTTACTAACACTACCACTTTAAGCAAATGGAGATTAGTTAAATTCAAATGTTGCCTACTGCTACCTTCCTGGGATATAACTAGACATTATCCAAGAATCCGTATTAATCTAGACAATTCCTAAAATGAATGGTATTACCCAACACAGTTCATTAAAACCATCTAGAAACTTCTCAACCCTGGCACTTACTCAATTCTGCATATAAACATTTCTCAGAAATTTGGGGGGGGGGGGGGGGCGAGAGAAAAAGAAAATACCAGGTTGTTCACAGAGTATCTCTGGTGAAGGAGACACCAAAAGTGGTGTATTTCTTGACCCAGGGGCAGCCTTCTTCAAACCATCCATAAGACTTGAATCAAAAAGAAGCTGTGATTGTAGGATGCTGCAAGGCTAAAGGTTATGCAACTCTTCTAAGTTTTCCCTACCTAAAAAACTAAACAACAAAAAAAAAACCCACACACCCCACCCTCCGCCCCCCAAAAAACAAGAAATCACCAAAAAAACAAACCCAAACACTCAGCATATGAAGACAGGATAAGTTACTGAAAAGGGCCTGTTTATGTTATTTCTACCTTCACAGTTTCTAAATATTCCCTGGAAGAGAGCTCCAAGGGCAGCAATTCATCACCAAGACCCTGGCAGCATGGCTCTTTCACAAAGAATATTTACAGCTGCAGTAATCCATTGACTACGTTAAGAAACTCTAATCCAATAATGATTAGCTCCCTTTTTCCTCAGGATCTCCATGGCCAGGTGCCACTTCGGCACCTATATGAATCATTGTTTGTTTGCAAAAGCCCCTGCATTTCTTGTGCTCAGTATACAGCACGAGTTGGCACAACATAGCACAAGGTCACTACTAACTTTACCACAAATTTTGACATTTTTCCTTGAGTTTGTCTCACTGCCAGTCATGAATTAGCTCATAAGCACTCCTTTTCAAAACCTGTTTTAAGAAAAATCTCTGCCTTTACTCAATTTTAGCTTTAGGCTCCTTTTCCTTAGGTTTCTTTAACTTACTTACTAGACTGGTTAATATAGGCTATTTTTAAAAGCATATAAATTTAAGGATAAAAAAAGTCCCCTTCACCTTACTTAATCACACCCCCCCCAGCCCCCCAAGAAGCACCAAACAGAACACCTGAGAAAGTGGCATGCTTCTTTTTTCCAAAAATCCAGATCAAAAAGTCTGGCTTATTCTTAATCTGTCTTCCTCAAATATACACACCATTTGTTTGCACATTTGTTTTCTTATCTCCTCAGCTACAGTATTTACTTAACACAGATTGAGTTCTATCTGGTGAATAACAGTACACAAACTAGTATTTACTGAGCATGAATATTCTATAAGGTGCTTAGGAACTCTAGTTCATTGAGTTCACTGTCATTGGAAACAGCACTTTGTTGTTAATTTTTAATATGCATATATATAGAATACCCAGGACTTTCCTTTTTATCAGCAGCCTACATCAACATTTTCTACCAGTAAGTTATTGCTACAGAAAGGAAAAACTGAAGAAAACATTTCAGATGAGAGCATGAGACGCTTTAGACAAAGCATCTTTTTAAAACTGCCAATCTATGCAAGACAAACTGTGTAACTAGGATAGTACCAAGGGCTACTTGCTGCTCCAAGAAACCTACAAGGCACCACCAGAAATTCTGATGAGCCAGTCTTACATGGGGTGCAAGAGTTTCCAATATCATTTTGTCAAAGAAAAGCTTAAGTTTCTGAGGACTTCTAAACTGGGTGAGAAATGCCTGTCAGTCCAAATCTGCCTGCTTTTGTAGACATTACCAGTTTTAGTGATTCTTCATGGTTCCTAGCCTCCTGAAGAAGCTATAAGCCAGGGGACATGGTGGGAGAAGCACTGGGGCAACACTCTTCTTGCAGCTCACTTAGATATAGTGGATTCTCTAGCATTGAACAATATGGACCAGTCACAAAGAAAGGGCAAAATCAGCTTGAAAGGCTGAATCAATTCCAATTATCCCTCCTAGATTTAATCCATTTCTGATCTACTTAAAGATATTTGAAGGAATTCAAAAAGATGAATCTTGGCACAAACCAAGAAAAGCTGATATGAAAAATATGAGATACCCAGAAGAAATATTGCATAAAGTCAGAACTTAACATTTAAAACTGGAATGCATTATTTTTTAAATAAAATTATACAATAAAAACTTATCTAACATGAATTAGTATAAATTCATATTACTGATAAATTATAAATATTTTATGTATTTCAGAGAACAAACAGTCAAAAAAATCACCTTTACAAGCCTCATTCTTGCCTTTCTCAAATATAAATTAAATTTTTCAAGAAGATCAGGTGCATTACATATAACTGTCACTTAAGTTTGCTAGCAACAGTCATCACATCTTTTACATACATGCATTTAATAGAAATCACTCATTTCAAGTCACGGCTGTATAACTCTGACTTTTGCATATGGAAGCATTTTCAAAATATGAAGCTGAATTTACTTAATATTCATTTGATAGTTTGATGGACTATACATTTGAAAGTCAAATGCCAATCCATTTCTTCTATAATTATATCCATGTTTTAAAAAATGTTATAGGTTATTTGCAACAGATTAAAAGAGGAACCTTCTGCTATCATTCAAGAGGAACCAATTTATTTCCTTAAACAAAAATCCACATTTCCACACTTTACCTCTGATAATACAGCTAAGCATATTGGTCTTCATTTTATCATCACCCTTGGATTTAAACACACTGAAGTTTGGAATATTTGGAACAGGGCCAAACAAAGCAACGGTATTCCTAGACCACATAGATAAATCTTACATACAATTTCAGTATGTACATGCTGAATCAACCCCTTTTCCACAACATTTAAAAACAAATATCTGTTCATATTACAATCATGATGAAGTGTCCACTTATATCTGAAAAAAATGGCAAAAATTTACATATTCATGCACAAAAAATGACAGTGAAATACTTTGGGTTAACAAGTCCAAGTATTAGACATCTGTCATGCCACAGTTAGTGATCAGGTAAGTATGACTGTTTCTAACATTCTTGCACAAACACTTAGGTATGCCGTATATATTTATAAAGGCTATCAAATACAAAGCACCTCCTCTCCAGATTAGTATTATGAATAAAACACATTGCAGCATTTTAATACACAATGTACATAAGCCCTTTCAGGCTCCAGAAGAATGAATCCTGCCACAGAACAGCAAAGACAGACACATTATTTTAGCAATGTGTTAGTAAGCTCAAACACCCTATTCATTTTTTTCTCATAACTTTCCCACTGAATCCTCAGAATTCATTTAGGCCGTATTAGAAAGGCCATTTACATGGATAACGTTGATTCCTTCCATGAGTCCCAACTTTAGTGACTTTGTCTTTCAGCTCTCACATTAGGTAACTTTACAACAAACCCAACAACAACATGCAAACAAATGGGGATGTAGTCCTTTTAAGATTTGCTACAGTAATTACATCTGCTTTTTCTATACACCTTGCTGTGTACCTGATACTTCACTGAAAATAACATGTTTTCTGTTTGAGATTTTTGCATTGGGGAGCATTAGTTTTATGGGGTTTGTATGTTTTTTTTTGTGCAGTTTGTGGTGCATAGCAGTTTTTTTTGCTTCTTATTTTTGAGGTTAAATACTTATTAATAACTCCCATTTCAGTTAAGCAAGCAAACTACCTTCCAGGTCTACAAATTGGCTATGAAGATCTTCCTTCTAAAAGTTTTGTAGAATAGGATTGCCCGGAGAAGTTGTGGATGGAAGTGTTCAAAGTTGGCATTTTTTCCTTGAGACAAGGAAAAAAAAATAGTTCTGGTTTGCATAAAAAATACATTAAAGAGTCAGAATCAAATAACAGATAGAACTGTTACTTAATTATGCATTAAACAGTTACTTAGTTTGTTCATTACCATGAATACCTAATTTTAGAGGACCAAAAGAAAACTTGAGATTGGCATGTTAAAACTAAATTTCACAATATTTAGCAGGGTTTGCACACAAAATTCATTGTTAAAATAATCACAAGGTATCAACAGTGCTGCCTGTAATACCCACCTATTCAGACAGAAGAGCTCAACGGTGACAGTCAGTGCCCACACTTCTGTATAGTAACACATATTGAGAAGCCAGCATTCACAGCATAGGTGTTTCAGGAACTTATTTTGGTCTAGGGTTGCTGCCAGTGTCGTTCAGGAGGTTGAAACAACTCCACTCCAGAAGAATTTGTATTGATGCCATTTTATCAAAATTTGAGATCTTAAAGACACTCCACACTTATAATTAGGAACAATGGAGTAACATGTCAGAACTAAAGACTAAAACATGACTGTTTCAGACTCTACAGTGGGATCAAGGAAGCAGAAGCTCCAGATTTGGAGCAGTGGAATATTCTCTTCCACATTTTCTTTCCCAAGTAATTTGCAAATTCTCGTTAGTTCTATAGCTTTCACCAAGATTCGTATAATTTATATTTCCATACTGAATTAAACAGATAACTAAAACCAGACAAAAAAGACTAGCTTTTATTAAGCCTGACTTCTGTTTTATCACATTTGTAGGTTTTGAGAAGTATCTGTATCATGCAGCCTTTCTATCAGTCTGTTCTTTTCAAGAGCCAACTTTTTCAAGGTTATAAGTTGACTTCCAAGAAGTGAAACAACAGTAAAAATTGTTGAGATCAGAAATTTTACTTTACCTGGCGTTCTAATAAAGCTAGTATGTGTTTTCACTGCATCTTATAGCATATCAAAAAAGTGCATGAAGTACACCTTTTAAATGTAATTTCAGGCTCATTATCAGCTGCCTTTGTTATCTTTTGAGCCTACTGATACTTGCTTCTGACTTCAATAGACAGCATCACTTCTGATCAATGCTATTTCTGACATGCTCCAACATGTTATGACTTAGAAAAAAATTGAAAGAATCTTTCCAAGAAAATTGAAATTGTGTTCACCCAGGTTTAGGTTGAGAAATTATTTAAACAGAGGATTTCATGTAGAAATGCTCTGTTATGTCATAAGGAGATGAATAAATAGGATAGATGTATAGCAAGAAAGGTTTTATCATGAGATTAAGAAAGTACAAATGTACTTGAAGTTCTAAGGAAGTTTCACTTCCGGTGAGGTAGGAAATAAAACTGATTCCTTTTTATGTAAAACCATACTCCTGTAGTTCTCTTGTTGGTCTTCACCTGCTATGAGATATTTGCATTAATATTTCATGTATGCAAAATACAAACATTGTGTTACCGGTGGTCAGCAATATTAATTCCAGTCACAGAAACAAAATCACAAAATTGATCTGAGACAGGCGGTGCAGCCAACATAATTAGGGTTTGATCCTCTTGTTAAAAAACAATGAGATTCCAAAGCACCCCACAGTCTTAACTAATGTCTACAGTTTCATATGGGAAGACATAATAACTACGATGGTAAATGTATTAACTTCAGTGACATCAAAGAAAGATTTTGCTAGATTAGGTTGGATTTGAGCTCAATGCCTAAAGAGCACTCAGACAAATATTATACTGCCCTTTGTATAAGTTGTAACACAGTGGTTTTAATGTTATAATTATCTGTACTGCAAGATGAACTCTGATTTTGGTACGCTCATACACGCTGCATCAACACCTCTGCAACAGAAAACATCCTTAAAATGGGAGAAAAGGTATACTAAATGCATTGCATATGAAATGCTTTTTATTTTATCATCCACACAAGTAGGGGATGAGTCAGATGTTTCAGAAACAGTCCATTTACAGCAGTAAGGAAAGCCCTCCATTTCCTGGTTCTGTTTTACTTACTGATTCCAGTAACCTAGAATGCCATGTAGAGAAAGAGAGAAGTGGGAGGCACAAATCTTTGTATGTATACTTTCACGTAAAGTACATGAAACATCCACCCAAACACAGAGAAACTTTGTCATTTATTAGTAAGAGCTTGACCAGCATCATGTCTTTTTTTTAATCATTAAACTATTTCTGTATATTTACTTTCCACTAACACCCAAAATCAATTTCCACTGTATTGCTGCCTATCTAGCAAGTTCTTCCCATTTTCTATTTGTTCATTTAAATTCACCTTTCCAGACAATATTCAATTGTGCTTATTGTGTTTCCCATCTTCCTGATTTCAGGCCATATCACTATTTTATTGTTATTTTATATTCTGATTTGTCAGGAGATTCTTCCAACAAGAATTATTTCAGTTCAAATACTACCTACAAATTCATCAGTGTATTCTCTATTTCACCAGCCAACTTCTTATGAAAGTTGGAACAGGGCTGGATACAGAAATCCCTGGGGGACCAAAACTCTTGGTCAGCAAACACAATTATAATGGTTCTTCATGTTCTTCCAAGATCTTACAATTATTTAATCTGGATTACATCTGCCAAATCGACTAATGTCATCACCGCATAGTATTAAAGTTGATATATCACAGACTACTTCCACCTTAACCACAAAAGCAGTTATACAGGTTTGATGTGCCACCTTCCTGAACCATCACTGCCAATTATTTTGTTTTCTCACCATCTTGTTATTACCTATCTGCTTACATATTGATAGTTTTCAATTTACTCCAGTCTTTACGAAGATTGAATATAGGGGCTACCTTAGAGACAATTTCCTTAGTCCTTTTGTTCTCCACTTCAGATGAATGCTGTTTGTTTTCTTGAATCTTCAAAAACCTCCTTTATCTCCCCCACTCCACCCCAAATATAATCTGTAGATAATAAAATAATGATTAATAACGCTAAAATTCCTGCTTCCTTCCTTCTTCTATGGAAGCTTTCATCAAGAAATGTAAATTTGAAATTTCTGTTACAGAAACAGAGTTTAACAACTTCTCTTTTTCACAGCTACATTTTCTTACCCTTTTTCAGAATTAAATTATACATATAATTCATCTTTTTTTCTGCATAAAGACTGCTCTTTCGGTTTTACTGGAACACAGGACCAAAAGTTTTAAATCAGATGCCCATATGAGTGTGTAATGACCAAGCCATCTTTTCTGTAGACTCATTAAACAGATTACAGACAGGGCTGAAAGGATTTGTCTGCTAAGGCACTCCCTGTTATAAAGCCCTGCTTTCAGTTGCTTGTAACTTTGCACCAAGCCTGTTTCAAGGTGTTTATAGTCTCCTTTGCAAATAATTGAACTGTTTGCCATGAAGAAATATGAATTGTGGTATTTGTTATTTTTCTTTGAAAATATAATATTCTTATTCTGGCCTCTCCTAGTCCCCATGCCTGAGCAGTCAGCACACACCTACAGCCCAAACTCCTGCAGAAATACTCTATCTCCACTGGGGCTAGGAAGATGCATAGCATAAGGGCGAGAGTGCTTTTATCCCAGTTACCTCCAGTTAACCAGTGTTCAGACTGGCCAAAATGGAAAACTTGTGAAAAATTCAGTTTTCAGGATTTCAGTTTTCTTTTATCTTCAACTATTTCTTTAAGTACAAAGAGCACAAAATACTGTTTACTAATACCTGTTCCAACACTGTTTAACTAATACCTTTTCCTTTTTAACAATGTATTAAAGGAAGTCCAGGAGCAGATCTGCAGAACCACAGACTCTTCCTCCCTGTACAATGGACAACGTTCCTGTACCTTCACAGTGGATCCCAAAGAGATTCAGTGCAACAGAACAGCATGGAGCTCCCAGACAGGAAGTATACAAATACCTGGCACTGTGCTGTATTAACAGTATGTTGACCTGAGATACCTTGCTAATTTGTATCCTCGCCAGACAGTTGTCGGGTAACATGTTTTTACACGTTTGTAAGCTAATTCAGAGATGAAACACAAAATGCTGCATTAGGGAGCAGTATACATATTGTAACACACCCAGCAGGCACTCAAGACTGTCAGAAACATGTCGTTACTACCTTCTTTAGGTAGAACTTCCCTGAGAATTATGGCTTATTGCAAATTTTCCTTGTAATTTCTTTTCTAAAACAGACCACTTAAAAGGTAAAACACAAGAAGACCAGCCTAACGAAGTTCACATAAACAGAAAAGAAACAGAAAATTATTTTGCACACTGCCTGTTATAACTCACCTACAGGGAGAGACTAGGACCCTCTAAGGTAGTTTAACCCCACTAATCTTTGTTGCCCTATTCAGGCTGTTAGTCAGATGCTGCTAGCTACCAAAGTTTAACAAGGTTCTTTGCATCAACAGGATTATATCTTGTTCTCTGCAGAATCAGATATAATGAAGTTGCTCATTAAAAATAATGAACTGCTTTAGGAATGGGCCCTGATCTACAACTTCAGACAGTGGAACATCTTATTTTCAACTGAAACATAATTAGATTCAACTGAGATCCCCAAGTTGGGATATTAGAGGTAACCACAAAAATCATACTTAATTATGAAAACCAAATACACTGACTTTCAAAGACTCTTATGCAATACCCACAGTGTTGAAACACTGGTAAATATTAGTTTAATTATTTTTTTAGGTTTTTTTTTTTAGTTTTTTTATTTTTTTTAAATTAATGGTACTTAATTGGTTATAGAACTGGTTTACAAAATTCAAGCCACTACATTTGCACCCAATTGCCTGAGGACAATTGTTTACATATTTAAAGTTAGTGACTTGAAATTCAGCAGTGTTAAGCTCAAATGACTTCCACTGACACCAATAGGAATTAAGCAAGTCTGGCACTGATAAAATCCAGGCCACTAATTTATGCACAAAACTAAAAATTACTCTTGGAGCCAAATAAAAAGTTAAAAATATTCCAGCCATAAAATAAAAGCAAAGATCCAGAGATAGTTATCAATGCAAGGAGCCAATATCCAAAGATGATGTAAACCAAGCCGGTACCCATGTCTGCCTGAGTTCAACCATGCAGCACAGCCAACAAATGACAATAATGCACATCTGAGAGTCTCTAAACTGCTGCTTATCACCACCAGCATTATGATGTCAAAAGGAATTTTCTGAGTGACAATAACATTTAAGAGCAGCTAGCTCTTAAAAGAAATGGCACAGCCTGTCGAGTTACAGCTCCTGCTGACTTCCAAACAAATCTCCATTGACATCCCCTCTGGCAGGATCTCTCTGACCAAGAGTCTCTTCCTTCCCTTTAGTAGTGGCTCCATTCACAAAAGCACACAATACTTACTTGGCATCAAACTTTTTTTGCAATGCTGCAAAGAGTTTGGAGGTTGTTTAGGGTGGTTTTAGAGAGGTGGGTTTTTATTCTGTGTGTGTATCCATTGCTTCTTTAAATATCCTGTCTCCATGCAAACTGTCAGGGCTGTATATGTCCTTAAATGCCTTAATGTGTTCTTTGAACATAACTAAATATATTTTTTTAATGCACAAAATAATGAATTAGAACAACCAAAGACAGAAGCCTATGAAATAAAAACACATAACAATAGACTACCTCTAACATCCAAGTATTTCTGTTGGGATCAGCTATCGCAGTGCATCCCTCCCACCTCCCACCCTCTCAGCTACTCTACAGTCTGACGAATACCCAACAGGCCTTGGCCTCTGTGTAACGAGTTGGGTAGTGAAGCACCCCATACCATGAACTCTTACTCAGTTAAGGAGTGAGGCACTGATCATGCCAGGGACTCCTGTCACCTCACTAAGTTAAGACACAACACACAGGAAGTAGCAATGACATGATCTTGAAATAACTCTTGACATGTAGAGAGCAGCAATATAGAAATTAGAAACAGCTTCAGCCACTATTATGCAGCCTTATGCAGCCTCCCAATTTTAAGATAACCTGCCCACTGCACAAAATAATGCGATGTAACTCTCCCAAACCACCATTTTTACAATAATTATTCCTCAGTGGTAAATAAGAAGATCTTATATAAGATCTTATAGTCTGGGTCAATAAAGTAATCTTCCTAAATATTCCTATGAACAATTAAAAGAACATTCTGTGCTCAAGTATACTGGTCATTGTTACATCCCACAGTGCCAATCTAATACAGCTAAGGATATTTAGACAAAAAGCAGCAGAAAGGCAGGAAAGCTGAAACAACTGCTTAAGACCCTTTCAATAATTTATTTTTTTTCTGTTTTGAAGATTCTCTTGCAAATATTTTAAATCTTGTAAAGTTAGCAACACATAGGTAGTTTGATATAGGGGGCAAAAATGCTAGCAAACCCTACGTACTTTTGTACATTTTAAAGGGGTGTTTTTTTTCTTTATGAAGTGGACTTTAATTATGACCTAAAAAATATACAGCAATAGAAAATGCAATTTTACCCCTCCTTAATCTTCATTTTTCAATCTTCTGCTTTTTAATCATTTGCTTCATTGACCACTTACTTGGTTAATTTCACTGAATTATTATATTGAGCTACAGAATATTATACTTTTATTGGTGAGCTTAGAAAGGTAGCTCATTATAGAATTTTAATAACTTTAAAATAGACTTTTGCTTTAGCCAGGAAGCCTTATAAAAATGTTCTACAACATTTACCACTGATTGGGTGGCAGACCTTGCTTTTTTGTAGCAATTGAAATATTAAAAATTTTTGAAATAAAAATCAGTGTATTGTTACCATCACATATATATTAATTACAACATAGAATGAAAAAGGCCTCAGGCTGTGATTCTTCTGTATCCAAAACTTTTAACTGTGCCTCAACATTTTAACATTTTCATGTCTCCATTGCTTTTACGTCAGGCTACGCCTGCCTACCTTAGCTACAGCCCAGAGTATATCAACTTACACATATACTCACCCAACTCCCAGAAAAACTGGTTGCAAAGAGTTTCCAAGGTGCCCACCAGGACCAGAGGGAGGGGATGGCAGTAGATGGTTTGGGGTCCTTGCAGCAGCACTGCACAAAGAATACAGTGGTAAAGCAGGGAAGCAGAGGGAAGCATGTGACAGGTTCCCTGGGTTTTATGGCAGAAAGATATTAAAGTAACCTGCAAGTGCTGCAAAAGGAAAGAAACTTTGGACTGCTGAAAGAAAAAGCAAAATCTGGGAGGAAAAAAGATCAAATGAAAGACCTTGGAAGAAGATAAAAGATTGACAGTGATTTAGGAAGAGAGACTACTCTGTCTTCCTTCGCAAGGAAGTAAAGAGAGCTTCAGGCTACACAAGCAAACAACCCTTTATGCTACAGGCAGTAGGGAAATATGGTATCTGAAGGGGAAAAAAAAAAAAAAAAAACAAGGGGAAAATAACCAGAAAAGTTCTTAGAGAACTTTTTCTCTGCAATAATGGAGAAGCCTTCATGGAGTTTCCTCTCTTGCCTTTTAGTTGGAGCAAGACTCTGGTAGAGAAAGCACACAAGAGAAAATAAAAGAACCAGCAGCACTTAAAGAGACACAGAACCTGCAGATTCTTTCCTTTTCCCACTCTTACCAATATAGGTATTTGGCAAGAGGACAAAAATTAAGGATTCAGTCAGTATGTTCACTTCCAGTAGGCAGCTGTAGAACTAGCATGCACTGAGTTTACACAATCATAAACTCAAGAATTGTATCTGTAGCTGAGCGAGGACACAAACCTGCACACCCACACTCTTCACTGCTCTCACAAATGAAGTCCAAGGCTCCAACTATCATTTGTTTCTACTGCAGCAACCCTAAGGTACTGTATCACCAGCAAAATTATAACCTGCCAAGAAACAGACTAACAATCTTGATAGCTTAACGCCTTCCTTTCAATAAATTGTTAGCCACCTCTAAATTGTTTGATACCCAAAGATTAAATACTTACCTACAAGCGAGCAACTTGCTCATCTCCAAATTCACCATGAGTTGAGTTTGTCATTATCCCCAATTCACAAACTGCAGTTCATGTTACCCTTTGAGGTCCATTTTACAATTATTTTTTTTTTATGCAGCTATAAGGTTTTGCTATTACAAAAACATGAAACTAATGATAACCAAATACAGAGGCTACAGAATAACTGCAACATGAAATGCCTGTGTGTGTATTTTAAAGTCTGTATCATAATATACATCACACACTAGCTGTCTGTAATGAGCAGCTATTAAGAAAAACAGCACCAGATGAGATTGTAAATAACAGTTACAGTTCACATTAAGACCAAATATTCCAAACATTATTGTTAAATAAAACATATTTCTCAAAAAAAGATGACTACTTGGTTTTTAATTTTGCATTTAGTTTTTCCTAGTCCAAAGAGAAGTGAAGGAGCTACAATTACATTTTAACGCGGCTTTTCTTTTTGGCAGACAAACTCCCCAGATATTAGAAAACAAAGTCCTAAAAATTTAGAACATCTTCAAGCAGAAAAGAATAAAGGGGAATTTACAAGATGCAATAAAGCACAGTGCAAACATCCCAACAGGAGTTCCACTTATTACAGTATGACCATGCAACTCAGTCCAGTACTGTGTTATTAGCTCAAGACCTGAAGGCTATATAACTATGTTTTTTCTTAGTATTACGCTTAAGGTATTAGCCCACCTCTCAGCAGGATTTAGGAGCTCAGTCACAGCTTCACTCTGACTGATTTCGACTCGAAAGTTGTATTAATAGCTAGCTCAGAAATCTATGCACTGCACTCCAAAACACAGCATGGACAAGCCTGAAGTTTGGGATCTTTTGAAAAGCAGCAGCCCTGGGCTGCTTCTGCTTCCAGCATCTTCAGTGAGAGCAGGCTCAAGCCAATGCAGAACAGTGCCACGCTCCTAAACCTAAAACTTCAGGTCAGGCCTTTCCACTGAGGGGAAAAAAAAAATTCAAAAAGAAAACCCACAATACTACCCCAGCCAAAACCAGGACACCATCCAACATGAGCCTTTCATGGGAATCATGACTTGTTTCCAGAGAGACTGAAACACAAAATTTGCTTTCACTAGTTAGTTATCATAATTATATTTAAATGCAGTTACCGTTAAAAAAAAAAAAACAACTCTTAAACAGGAAGAACTCTTACATTTATATAAATATACAAGCCTTATCACAGACCTGACAAAAGCAGTACTAAGCCAGCAGCTTTCTTGTAACCAGGAAATAAAATACCAAGGCATCCCTCAATACTGTAGCATTCAGGTAGATTTCAGGTTAAATCTTAAGGAGATGAAGTGTCTCCTTTCCTCTGAAACCACAGCAAATATCATCATCCACATGGAACTCATCTAACTAAGTGCTAACAACTGTCAGAAGAACAGTCAAACAGGATTTTCACCAAAAACAAATTCAGATTTGACCATGTTTGCTCTACTCAGATTCTTTTATAGTACATAGGTATCTTCGTTAAAAGCACTCACTAGTAGGGATCTTATCCATGCACAGTTACACCTATCAGTGGGAAACCAGATTTTAAAAGGTGCTGCTAACAGTAGAGCACAGGAGATAAGAGCACTCAACCACCTGAAGGTTCAAGTACATGTCAGGATTCCTGACATGAGATAGAGCCACCCTCTGAAGTGACACAGAACTGAGGGAAAAAAATACTTGGATCTTTTGAATGGGTTGGCAATTCATTGACTTTTCACAAGCCTGACTCATTTGTGTGCACATTGTTTTATTAAAGCAGCCAGATCTCTGCAATCATTATATAAAACTTCATGCTGTTGCTCAGCTGCTTGGCAAATGTAAAAGCATTTGCAGCCGTAGCACATTCTGACAGGGATAGCCTCTTCTTCCTAGAATTTTCTCACTAACACAGCTGTGACACCTATGCACTGAACAGCAGAGACAATTTAGAAACCCAAAGGATACACTGAACAGTGGTGTATTCAGTGGCCTCTAACTCTGTACTGTCTGCTGAGATCATATCTAATCTACAGATATTCCCTTGGCAATATAGCTGTGTGAGAGCGGCCACTTAGTCCAAGCCCTGCTGTCATATCCATGCGGTTTCTAACAGTCCATAGTGGCAGAGTTTACACAGCCTGCTTTACTATCCTCTTTGCTGACAAAGTTTTTCAGGCCATCAAATCTAAGTATCCCACACCTAAAATTAATCTCATTACCCTCCGTCACATCCGCATACACAGTATGCATCTTATTTCTTTTCCATGTTACATGTCTTAGGACTGGAGATGTGTCTTGCTTCACTTCATGGCTTGCAAAACTCGTAGTTGTTGGCCTCATCAGAATTCTTCATTACCTTCTCTTTCAGGAAATGTGATGCTCACAACTGGACGCAGTCTTCTACCACTGCTGAATATAGCAAGAACCCTCCATGCGTCCTATCTAGTACATACCAACTTACATATTATATTATGCAACATCCACAAGGACTTAGGCATGGAATTATTTAAATGTCTGTCCTCCAAAGCAGAGGCTCAAATCTATTCTCAAACAATGACAGCAAAATGTTATTAATGGCTTGTTGCACTAGTTCAGAGGTTCATTATCACAAAGGCTTACCCTATATTGCTATTAATCTGTGCCTTCTGTCATTATCAAGACTAGTAATTGTCAATCCACACTAAAAAATAAAAAAATTTAAAAAAAAATCAGTATTTTAACATAAGGCACATTTGGAGCAGCATGTAGATTTGTTAACCTAGCAAAGTATTACAAAAGAAATGTTTAAGGGAACCACTCGTATTCTTAAAGTCAGGCATGTGTATAAAGCATTTGTTAGGATGATAGCAGAAATTTTCAAGAGGCCGAGTGCATTCCTACATTTGTTAATGTCACTCTGTGCCTCTGACAAGATGCTGAGGAACACCACCAGCTGAGTCACAGTACTTTCAGTGGCAGCCTTCAACAGAAATGGTGTGCCATTTACAAACTGCTAACTATGCTGCACTAATTTGTCAAGCTACTAGAACTGTTACAGGGGATTCCTTTATTGCCTGTCCAATTTTAACTAAAAAATGCAATTCTTCATACTCATATTTATTAACATAACTTAAAATTCATATACAAATACTGTGTCTAACTATGTATCAAAATCAGTAATTCCATTAATAAAATGAAACCTAGTTTTCAGTTGTACTGTTCTTAGCACAAGATCAATTTAGGTCATTTATTTTCTGCTGACAAGAAATCCAGAAGTGCTCTATTACAATTTTTTTTCTCTCCAATAAAATTAGCATGCCATGAATACAATTAATATATCAATTAGGCAATGCTATTAAAAGCATTTAAACCAATTAAAAAAAAAAATCAAACCCTGCATATTCTGACTTTTTGTGCATAGATATTAAGCAAGAACTTTATAACAGTCTACTGAGTATAATCCTACCAGTATATTCCTGCTATTTACAAAAAAGGTGAGTGTAAAAAATAAACGAACAAACAAAAAAATCCACAAAAAGGTGCTTTGTACTAAAGTAAGATGATCAAGAACAACTTCAGCACAAATGCAATTTGTGCAGTTCAACATAAGCTACATACACACTTTAAGACTATCCCTGCTGCTCCCTTCCCACAGCCACAGCAGCAGTCTTTTCACATTCAGATCATTTTGTAACCCATTTAAATCTAATTTCCTTTTTAAGTAATAATGGGAATAAGAAAAAATATTCTTTGCTATCTAGCTTAAAATTTATTTCTGAAAGCTTAATTTTTCAGTATTATATCTCAATTTATTTTTTTTTTAACCATCCATTTTTTTTTTCCAATTGAGCAAGTTCAATTAGATTCTGAGCACTGGCAGTTTATTAAGCCTATTCACTGCTGAATTAACGAACATATTCCTTTGAGATACTGATATAAAAGTAGACATATTTCAACACCTGTTCTTTCAATTCAGAGCGTAAGTTAAATAATACCAGGACAAAATGCTTATCATATGTAAATAAATCCACAAGACCATCCAATTGGCACTGAAAGGGGCAACACTGAAGCCAAAAGCTTCCAATAAATCCTACTACAGTTACAGCAAGATAGCGTGTGGTCATTCTCAGCACAAAATAACACAACACAGGCACAGTGACACAGCAAATTCATAGAGATTTCTACTAGAAGAAAGTATATCCCATCCATTCCCTGGAGCCACAGCTGCTCCCAGGATTACCTGGGAAAAGTACAGCACATTGGGCATGGGGAGGAGAGACATGAGCCATTTAAACCAGCATAAGGAAGCAGGAAGGCACCATTGTCATTAGCACAGGCACCCATTTGGAAACCTGTGATGATGCAGAGAATCAACAAGCTGCAACTCACTTCCCAACAGCACCATGAGGAGAATGCTGGTGTTGAAGGGCATTCTGCAGATGGCCTTCAACTGCTATGGGACAAGGCCTAACCTTATCTCTAAAGCAAGTGAATTAGGAAGCAAATTGCTTACGGTTTCTTCCCACAGAGCACACAATACACTTTCAGAGAAAGTGGACCTCTGGGTTTCAAGCATACAGGAAAGCTGTGGGTCCTAACGTAGTCACCTCAAATAGCTTCTTGAAATTTGGGGAGATTAATCCAGGCTATACTGTGGCCATTCATATGGGCTAGTCAAACAGGGGTGGTGAGTTGTGGGGGGTTTTAAACACTGTCCTTGAATGATTCCCATTTCTTCCCAGTCTTGCAATACATTCACAATCTAAGTTTCTCTGAGATGCTTTGTAAATCTGTAACAGCCTAGCCACTTTGTGAACTCAAAATATTTTATCTACTTGTTGTCTATACAAAAGACTTCCTATCTTTTCCAAAAAC